GTGTGTATGAATCGTAGATACGTATCGTATGTACGTATCATATGTATGAATCATACCCACGGTCTGATATCCTACGGACAACAGTAGTAGTAGTAGTAGTAGTAGTAGTAGTAGTAGTAGTAGTAGTAGTAGTAGTAGTAGTAGTAGTAGCTAGCAGTACTAGAAGTTTGGCATAATATCTCCATAAGGATTCTGAACATGGCAACAGTTTAAAATATCTTTTTTTTTCAAAAGTATTACTAGTACCATTACTACAGCAGGAGTACTAGCTAGCTGTACTACTAGTACTTATTTCCCTTCAAAGTTAGACCAAAAATTTGATTACCGCATGTTCTTAGAAATTTTTTCTTATTAGATGATTTACAACTACTCTTACTACTAGTAGTAGGACTAGTAGTATTATGAAAATTATTGGAAAAGTTTTGGATTGAATATGAGTTTTGGGCAGCATGTGTCTCCTCACACTCCTTGAGGAACTCATCAACACCCTGCTGGTGATACAATTCACCACATGGTACTACAAAAATTCTAGAAGTCTCAAAGGGAAAAATCTCAGAAACAACAAGAAGTTTTGAGAGGATAATTCAGCCCTCCTCTGTTGGTTTTTGGTGGCAATGAGCCCTGCTTTTGTACCAATACTTTGCAAGTAATGGCTAGTCGAGGAAAGGAGTAGCTACTATTAAAAACAGAGTCTTGATATCATGGAAAGGTGCTGTGATGGCCAGGGTCATAAATTGTTCCATGGAGAAGGATGCTCCTACTAGTTGTAGTTCTTGCTCCTCTGGTGTGGAGGGGTGGTAGTACCTCCCTCCAACAAGGAGTTGGTTTGTAATATGCAGCAGCATACTTGTACTATTAGTACAATTGGAGTGGGATGAATTGTTGTTTCTTAAAAAATGTCATAGTGGTTTGAAGTGCTGGTCAGGAATAAGTACAAACATCATTGCTTGGGGCCAACAAAGAAGTTTTTTGTAGAGGAGTAGTAGACACATTCTCTCTTTTCTTCTTGGAGTATTCCTATTACTACTAGTACAAAGTACCACTGTAGTACTGGCTAGATGTGATGAGGAGGAAAATTAACTAGCAAAGAAGTACTGCTAGCAGTACTACTATGACTACTAGTAGTATCAAACAAAAAGGAACTTGGTTAGAAAGACAACAAACTTCTGGAGGAAATAAACTCCATTCCATTGTTTCTTGTTGTCTACACAAAATAGAGTCTTTCTTTGTTTTAGCACCAGCAAGAAGTTCTGGTTTCAATGGTTGCAGTTCTTTTCACCAGATAGGGGCAATGTTGATTGTTGAAGTATGGTCGGTGAGCACGTTTTGGGTCTAAACCAGTCTTTCTCAACGGCCTAGCGAGGGATGGATTCTTCTTTTTTGGACCGTTTCTCCCGGGACGTTTACGTTGTCTCTACGGGAGATCTCTACGATTTTGAATACCGATCGTACCGGCCGGTACCGTGTATCGGTCGTCTGTCAAACGCGGAAAGATACGAGCCATCGCAGTCGTGAAGACAGGGCACGGTACGAGTACGACTAGCATCGTGCTCGAACCATACTCTATCCGCACGGTAGTACTGGTACGAACTACGTATCCATTCGACAGATGGTTTACAAAAAAAACTTCTACCTACCGCAACAAACGGGACGGGAGGGGACGGTAGGTGGATCTTGGGATACCGTACCGAACGGTTGTTACGGTAGTTTTCTCCCCAAGTAAACCTAGGTTTATCCTTCTGGCAAGACATCCGAAACCGCAACCGGGACGACCCGCTGAAGACACACACAAACACAAAACCACACACACAAACAAACAAACAAACAAACACGCAAACCGCGAGAAACAGAACCACCATGGCGACAACCTTTGACCAAAGAACCCGAACCACCACCACCCACGGCGGCATCCGCATCCCCGTTCGCACCGCGCTGCGCTGGATCCTCCCGGCGCTGGCGTGCGTGCTGTCCCGAGCCCCCGTGGAGGCCCTTGGCCTCGCGCCGCGTTCCTTCCGGGCCCGCAGGGGCTCCGGGCCCTCCCTCCCGGAGCTGCGGCGGGGGGAGGCCCACGTCCGGCTGCACGCACACGCGCACGCGAGCGGCAACGGGACGGCAGCGGTGGCGCCCGACACCCGCGACGGGGGCACCGGAGCCGGGCCGGTCGAATCCAGAGCCAAACCCCGAGCCAAACCCCGAGCCGGAACCGGAGTCAAAGCCGCACCGGACCCTTCGGGGGAATGGCTCGCCGACCGCGTCCGATCCGTTAACTACTTCGTCTCGAGAAAGTGCAACTATTCCTGCAAGTTTTGCTTCCACACGCAAAAGGTACGTATCGTATCGTATCGTATCGTGTCGAGTCGAGTCGTATCGTGTCGTGTGGCATGGCATGGCATGGCATGGCATGGTGTTTTGTGCGCATTCGTGCATGCATCCATGCATCTCGGCCCACACCAACCAACACACCGTCTGCCTTTGTTCTCTGCAACGGATCCGATCCAATCCAATCCAATCCAATCCAACCCCGCCGCATCGATCGCGATCCCGGGCAACGCGGCTTCCTCCCTTTCCACGCCAAACCACGCCAAACGACACCACAGACCACCCACACCCTCCCGGCGGAAGACGCCGTCCGCGGCCTCTGCCTCCTGAGGGCCGCGGGGACCGAGAAGATCAACTTTGCGGGCGGCGAACCCTTTGTGCGGCCGCACCTGCTGGGCAGGCTGTGCAAGGCGGCCCACGAGATGGGCATGGCCGTCTCCATCATCTCCAACGGCTCCCTCGTCACGGAGGAATGGATGCGCCAGTACGGCTACTACGTCGACATCCTGGGGGTTTCCGTCGATTCCTTCGACCCGGAAACGAACGCCCTGATCGGCCGGGGCGGGGACGCCCACAACCGGCACGTCGACCGGATGCGGAGGGTCCGCCGGTGGTGCGAGGAACACAACATCAAATTCAAGATCAACACGGTCGTGTGCAAGCACAACGTCCGAGAAGACATGACGCAGCAGATGCTCGAGCTCGACCCCGTCCGCTGGAAGGTCTTCCAGGTACTGGTCCTCGAGGGGGAAAACGCCGGGGCCGGAGACCTGAGGGACGCCAGGGAACTCAGGGTGACGGACGACGAGTACCAGGCCTTTGTCGACCGCCACCGCCCGAGTTTCTCCAGCGACGTCCTGATCCCGGAATCGAACGCCGTCATGCAAAACTCCTACCTGCTCCTGGACGAGGACCTGCGCTTCCTGGACTGCTCGGCCGGGGGGAAGGTCCCGAGCGCGTCGATCCTGGAGGTCGGGGTGGAAACCGCCCTCCGCCAGGCGGGATTCGACGCCGACATGTTCCGGCAGCGCGGGGGGGTCTTCGAGTGGACCCGGGACCGGTCCGGGGACGCACCGAGACCGGAGCTGCGCCCGTGAAGGGGCTTGTTGGCCCCGCCTCTGGCCGAGGCGAGGCGAGGCCGGGCAGCGTCCCGCGGCACGCAGTACCCGAACCGGTCTTCTGGGATTTCAGGGAAGCAGGCACAAACAGTGGTGTTTGGAAATCTTTGGTAGGTACGGTTCCTACCGGTAACGGGTACTGTGCTGCAGTAAGTACCATGCGATGCGGGAGTGCGAGTGTAGAGTGTACCGGTTTTGTCTTGACTACTAGAAACAATTCGTACCAAACATACAGATACTGTATACGTAAAATGCAACTAAAATTGCATTATCATTATTGCCTCCATGCAACCAAAAAACACTACTGATTAGGCCTACCCCCTAAATACCCTTGTACGGCTACACTGTACTACTGTTTTTTGAACCGTATTGTTTTTTTTGTGTGCAAAATACATAGAAAAAACCGTATTGAAGTTTTTTCTACGACTCATACTCAGTAGCTTGTTAGTTGCATCCTGAAGCGTTGAAAACACGCACGCAGTGCAATAATACAACGTGGTCTCGTCGCTGGCTGCACATGAAAACTTGAGCTTATTATTCCTTTAGCGGCAACAAGCAACAAGCAACAAGCAACAAGCAACAAGCAA